GGGGGGGCGGGGGGAACAACACAACAGCTAGAAACAACCGAATGTTAGAAGCAGGGTAGTTTAGAAAAATATTTGTTCCTGATTAAGGTTTTCGTACACATTTTGAGCCTAAAAATGGGGATTGCAACATGGAAGGTATAGAGAAGAGTGCACAGTGCACTGAGAATCTTCATGTTTTCTAACCCAAACAAGGAAGCCCCATCAAATACTACAAAAAGAAAATAAGGTTTGACTTAATTTGATTTGTCAGCTGTTCAAGAGTATGTAAAGATTCTTCCTGATTGAAAAACAAAAATCAGCAAATGTTTTGTCTTTCCACATGTTTAAGTAATTTGAATAGGTCATTTAAATATTTATTTTCATCATGCATTTATCTACATTTATTTCCTTTCGCCTTCATCCTGCCCTGTTGTCCTAACCAGCTTACTTACGTAACTCGCAGAAATTCAAAATCCTTGCACTTGGCAGAGACAATTAGAGTATGATCTTTTCCACTGTCATGGAAAATCACTATGTTCCTGGTAATGAGAGATTCCTGAACAAACATACACTTGTTTTTAACAACCAGGTTTCCTTCCAACCTTGTTTTGGTGCATGGGGATATTCCCATATTACTTTGCCATTGGGAAATTGACTTGCAAGTGCTCTGTATCACTAAATATCAGCTCTCATGAAGACAGGACGCAGGGTACATTCAGAAATACTAATGCAATGATGCCTTCAATCTTTGGAAGGTAGTGGTGCCTGCAGGTCAGCTATCTTTTTTACAGTAGGGCAGGGGACATACTGACCCGATGTATGGGACAATGTCTACCCACACAGACTTCACAGTCTGAGACACAGGGTAGCAAAAAGAGGGGAAATATTCATCACAAGCCACACAGGGAGGAGGATTAATCTGACATTCCTCTTGTGTGCAAACATGTTTTCTGACCAGTTTACTAAGTGTCTAGCACTTTTTAAAAATATTGCACAGTTTTCCCACTATTTCAAGGAATCAAGAAATCCTTGATCCAAGGAATCAAGGATGAAGGCTCGTGGATCACAATCAGGGGTGTGGCGAAGAAGGGCTAAACATGATATGCATATGCTACTGACTGCCCAGTCAAAAAGGGGAAAGCAGACAAAGATTTCTTTAAACAACTGGAAGACGCCTCATAATTACAAGGCTTGTTTTCTTGGGGAACTTTAAGACATTTGCTGGAAGAGCAGAACAGCAGGGCACAGGCAATCTGGAGAGCATCAAAGACTTTTTTTCTGCAGGCACTCCTTTACACAGACAAGAAGCACTGCTGGACATGGTACAAATTAAGAAAGAAATGGCTAAGAACATGAAGGCTGATGGTAGCCTTAACCAGAGTGACTATGAGGTGATATAGGAATATAAGAAAAGTGAGAAAGGCAAATAGCAGACTATAGATCCTGGATTTCAGAGCAGCAGTCTTAGCTTGTTCAGGAAATTGGTACGTGGTAGCCTGTGGGAGAATTACCTTAAATGCCAAAGGACTCAGGAAAAACGCTTTAACTTAAAAGACAACCTCTCTAAAGCATACGATCAGTGTGCAAGATAACAAGAAGGTACAGCAGGAAGCAAGTTTGGCGGCATGGATAACTTCTGAGTGAGCTCAAACTTAAAACGCCATGTACAGAAGGTGTAAACAGGGATAGGCCATCTGAGAGCAACAGAGGAAGCATGCAGGGAGGGAGTTAGGAAGGGCACAGTTTAGCTGGAGTTCCTGCAAGGGATGGGAAACCTGCAAGGGATGGGAAAGGCAACACAGAGCGCCTGTAGATAGGTCAGCAACAAAAGGGAATAAGGAGAATGCTGGCCCACTTCTTGACAGGGCACGAGACCTCATAATACAGGACAAGGGAACTACTGAAGTACCTGGTTATCTTCCTTGCCTTAGTCTTCACTGGCAAGTTCTGCTCTCAAGCATCCCATGTCTCTCTGCCTAGTACTTTCTTTTTCAGACTGCTTCTCATTAGTAACAGGTGAGTGAATTAAGGACTACTTACACAGATTAAACATGCATAAGTAGATGGGACAAGACAGGATTCATCTGAACATGCAGAAGGCGCAGGCCAAGATCACTGTAGGCTGCCTTCTCTCACCTTTGACAGGTCACGTTGACTGGAGGAGGCAAAAGTTACATTCATCTTCAACACAGGAAAGCAGGACAGTCCAGGGAACAACAGTCTGTCAGATTTATTTCAGTCCCGGTGAAGAACACAGAGCAAGTCCTCATGGAAACTATTTCTAGTTCATGAATAGTAGAAAGGTGACTGGGAACAGCTACCATGGATTTTGGAAGAGCAAATCATGACTAACCAACTTGATTGCCTTCTAGGATGGAATGACTGGCTTTGTGGAAAACAAAATTTTCCTTTTACTCCAGCAAGGCTTTTAACACAGTCTCCCTTAATATGCTTGTAGTCTAACTATGAAGACAACAACTAGACAAGTGGACTGTAAGGTACATGAAAAACTGCCTGAACCATCAGGCTCCAAAGGTTGTGGCTGAAGGTTCAAAGCCTAACTCGTAGCTGATTACAAGCCAATTCTGTTTAACATCATCAGTGACAGAGACAACGTGATGGGAAGCACTCGGCAAATTTGCAGGTGAAACCAAGTTGGGGGAAGTGGTTAATGCTCTGGAGAGGGAAGTTGGTATTCAGACAAACTTCAGCACAGCAGAGAAGCAGGATGACAGGAACCTTAAGAAGTTCAAATGCAAGATAGACCGAGGACAAACAACCCCTTTCAGTAGCACGGCTGGGAACCAACTGGCTAGAAAGCAGCTCTGCAGAAAAAGCCTTGTTCATTCGGACATAAGGAAAAAACAGCTTCTCCAGAAGACCAGTTAAGCTCTGGACTGGGAGCCCAGCAGGGCTGGACTCTGTATCCCTGATTCTCAACTCTTGGCTCAACAGCCTCATCTAACTTGGAGTTATAGCTCTACCTTGAGCACGGGATGGACCCAATGACTTCTGGAGCTACTTTCCAACATGAATTATTCTGTGTCTGCTTATTCTCCCCTCTCCTAAGATAAACCAAGATTCAGTCCTTCTCTCTCAACATTAGAAGCAATTATCAAGAGATACTTAAAATGTCTGCACCAGCCATGATCCAAAAACCAAAAATGGTCAGTTTCAATCACCAAGATGTTAAAATTTTCATGAACTTAGATGTGGCCAAATACTATTTAGACATTCAAAAGTAAAATGTGCAGTATCACTTAGATTGAAAGAAAACAGCTACTAGTACATTTACTATGGAGAACAGTCTCCTGTTCTCTTTACTGAATTCCCGTAAGAGGACAATCAGGAATATATAACCCACTATAGCTCAGCTATGGACATACTTATGGCTTCCCTGGAGGGCTAAACCCCCCATTTAAAAAATAATTGAGCTCAGTGCTGTAAAAAGTCCCTCAGGGAGAGTGTGTTTCAGTTCAGAATCATTTCTTCAGTCCCACAGAGATTTACACAGAGGCACAGAGAAGCTACTATTTTTGGTGGCTAAGCTTTAACATATCATTCATAAAGCCAGCAAGTATAGCTGAATTTTGCTCTGCCCTCCCCTTGCCTCACTGTCAGCTCTGGCCATCCCTCATAACAAACAGCACCTAAAATAGAGTTATTGAATTGAAGAGTGCTTCCCAACATCCTCCTGACAGCAGCAATCACACCCCGAAGATCGACAAGTCACAGAAAAACCACAAACAGATAGAAGCAAAGTTGCAGAGTTTTTGGCATGTTTTACTCTCTTCCCCTTCTCCCATAGATCTCAAGCTCCTCTTGCCTCTGTGTTGGGAGTTATCCAACAGCTGTTGGAATCTGAATGTTTTACTACTGCTCTGGGTGGCATTAGAAGCTTTACCTGCCGTTGTCTTCCTGTATTTAGGAGATGACATCCCTTTGGTGAGTATTGCTGAAAGGTCATGTGATGCAGCCTAACTTTTTCAGAAACTTCCTTGACAGAGAGGGCTTTACAGTGACTAAGAGCAGATCACAACATGCTTCTCGGATGTTGTGGAGAACAGCTAGGACAAATTCCATGACCTCTGGTACAAAGGAGACCAATGCAGATGTTCTTGCAATCTCATTTGGTCTGTTGTCACTGTCCTGTTTGGCCTTAAAAAACAATCAAACATGGGAAAAGCCCTACGAATGTTTAGCTAGCCACACTGCAATTTCAAGGAATAACAAAGCCTAGTCATGAACACTAGAGTTGGTGCACCTTAATATTGTGTTTCAGCTTCTTTTTAAGATGGCTGAGCACTGTTCTCTCCATCAAAGTCACAGCACATCTCAGGAAGTCAAAAGGTGCTGCCAAGAGCAATTGCAATTCAGCCTTCACAGTTCAGTTACTTTTAGCATTCAAACTGCTTGGGTGATACAAGATTTGTCTAATAAAAAGGTTACCTAGGAGAGCAAAACAAAAACAACCGGTAAAAAAAGAGATTATAGATTGTGCAGTGTTTCACCTTCCCCACAGGTAACTGCCTCGGTTATCAGCTGTTCTTGAAGCCAGTGTTTGTCAGGAGTTGCACATCCCTGACACCAACCGAAGGTTACAGCGCTTAGCTGCCTATACACACTCAGCACTCCACAATCCGAAGGCATCGAAAGAGAGGCAGACAGTACCTCAGGTAATGCAAAAATCAAGATAATGAATGAGTGAGAACAAGAGTATGTGGATGACCCATTCTTGTCTACACAGGCCCACTGGCTATGTATCTGATCCCATTAAGTTATGATGTAATAATGTGTGCAGACAACACTCTGCTACCTAAAAATCTCTTTCAAGGCTCATAAACTCGGCTAAAACCCTACGAGAAACAACTAGGTTCTCCAAGCACCATGCAGCTGTTCCTAGGTAAACCAGGTAAAGATACACAGACAGCCCCATGCAAGTCAACTTGGATCTGGTGAAGAGGAACTGGGAAGAATAAACTGACTCTCTGCAGAGAGATCAACTTTCTCCCTGCAATCCCCCAAATTTTTGTTTTGTTCTGTGTCTGAATTAAGAAGCCTGCAGAGACTGTGCTGGCCACCTCCAAGGTCTCACCCACGCAAACCCCATGGTTGCAACCTGCCAAACTGCCACAGTTAGCTAGGGGCGCAAGGAAGGTCATCCACAGTCCTGCTCCCACATCTCAACCTCCAACAGTCACCTGGGACTTCTGCAGCACTCCACCTGCGACTTCCTGCACTGGCCATAAATTAGTCAAGCTTTTCAGGCAAGGTTGCCTGCAGCACCAGCAGGATCGTGCCTACCTTTTGGCTTTCTGAAGGCTCAGAAAACCTTCTCAGTGCAAAGCCAGAGCAGTGGGTGCTCCTCCCAGAGTCCTGGCCTACAATCAACCACATATACTTGCAGCTTGGTCTCAGCATAGGAATTAGGATTTTAATTAAAAATTAAAAGTTGTACCTTTCTTTACATGAGAGGAATATTTTTTAATATGTAAGAATATCTGTTTTTTTTTTCAAGTGAATTGTCTGATCAAAAAGTAAGAAAAAAATATTTTATAAGCCTTCATTTTGTAGGTGGTGAGCTAGCCCATACATCACTGTAATCAAACTGAATCACCCCCTCAAGCGGTGAAAACAGAAGAGCTATTTCACTTTTTGTATATAAAGCTCTGAAGTTTCTATTGAAAAAGAGACATAAACCAAAACTAAGACTTTTTTAAAAGAAACCCATTAAGCAAACTTTAAATGTCTGTGAGGTAACATGAAAACAAATCATTCCACTTTTAAAATAACATCTTTTTCCAAGTCATACAGCACAAACAACTTTATATCCAGATAGTTAAGTCTTCCAAAGTCAACAGTTTTAACCTATTAAGTAAAGCTTTCAAACTATAACCATGGGGATGAATTAACCTTGGTTTTCAATGGGAGATTACCAATAAAATACGAATCCAGAGCCCTATTCCAAGCACACTTAACTGTTTGAATGATTTTAATTATGTGCATGAATGTCTGCCCCAATGTCTGAAAGACCCCCATTTTGCTTTAGCTTTCAGAAGAATAGAATTCCAAATTGCCTTGGTGCTACATTAACACCAGATAAAATGAAGTCCTCAAATATCCGGGAGCAGTAAGAGTCAGTCAGTGACAAAAGAGAAAATGTATTCTGGTCATGTTTGAGAATGTAAGCAAAAAAGGTGACAGGAATGACAGAAAACAAAGCTGTTAAAGCAACATTTGTTACATTACTATTAACTTCACAAGAATTTAGATGCTACTGCAGATGCAGCACCTCTTCAATTTCTCCATCAGATATGGACTCCCCTGTCTGCCCACGTCCTCTCTACCAATCCTATTGCCTCCGACAAACTCTTCTCCTCCTCTGCTTGTATCCCCTCCAAGACCTCGGTGATAATGTGGGAAAAGGAAAGGAAATATTTGCTTCCTTTCTGCCGTGTTACTTCCCAGAACTAGTAGCCTCCTCCTCCAGCCCCACCCTTCTCCCGCAGGAGACAAAGATGCATTTTCCCCTTACCACCAGGTGAGTCCTGGACCAGCTATCGGAACTGCACATAACCATAACTCAGACCTTGATCCTGCGCCTAGGGACATAGCATCAGGAGTCTGCACTGTGCTGCCTTGTCAGGAATGTTATTGCAGGCAAAGTTATGTGGCAAAGGGACAATCTGAGAAACCAGATAGGTTTGTCTGCAAGCGTGAGCAGAACTACTCTGTATTAAAACCCACTTCAAAGTCATATTTTGTCAACCTTTGCCAGACATGGTTTCTAATACTACTTCTGCCATAGGTGCTCTGCATTTCTCAACCAAAACATCTGCATAATACTACTTCTGCTATAGGAACTCTGCATTTCTCAAACAAAAGGTCTCAGCTGGAGCACCTTAATTTGCATGGAATGTCACAGCACAGCTACAACAGACACACCAACTACTGGATCAATGGACACAGCCTAGAGCTGCACGTGCCAAAGTACAAAACATTCAAAACCCAGCACAAAGCAACTGCTCTTTGATTAATGTAATACAGAACAGAGAGTTTATTCTTCAGATAATCACAGAATAGTTGAGTTTGAAAGAGACCTCTGGAGGTCATGTGGTCCACCTCCCCCCTTCTCCCTAGTCCAAAGAGAAGTGAAAGAAAAAATGTTTGCACAGATTATAACAATCCATTGAAGACTGATCAAAATGACCTGTCTGAACCAGCTTCTTAGCTAGGAAGAAAGAAGAATGGGTAGTCCATCAATCTGGAAATGGCATCCCATGTCTAGTGACCAACTTTCAGACCTAGAATGACTATATGTTTTTGTTCTCCCTATAAACAAAATTTTCACACACAACAAAGAATTTTAAGGAACTACTTACTCCTGTTCCTCTGGCATCTTCTTATCACCTATGAAATACTCCTGGGGATCACTTTGTTTTGTGCTTTTGAACATGGCTACGTCTGGCTCCAAGGGGGGCCTACAACTGTTGACACTGACAGTTATCTCCATGACCATGATGAACTGCTGTTACCATTTTAAGACTTTTTTAAGAAATAGGTGGTGGACTATGGCAGTGCCTGCACTGGGGAAGACTGGGCCAAGATCAGTGCCTCACCTAAGCACTGCTTCCTTCCTCTAAGGAACTCACTTCCGAAATCAAACAGGTTGGAAGGTGGGGAAGGATCTACTTGGCTTTAGGGCCCAAGATAACTGACAATTATCACAGTACAACAGGCAAGCTTGGCTAAAACTCTGATTAGGTTACTCATTATTCTATTTATGGACACAATATATTTACTGTTCATAAAAGTACCCACATTCAGTCTCTTTATAGCTTCTTCCTGCAAATGCAAAGACCAACCATTCCACATTTCAAATTCTCAATACTCTGTTGAAAAGTAAAGAAGTAAGAAAAAACAAACTGTAATTGTATTTCTAGCTCTCCAAGCAGCGTGAGCATGTTCACAACTATGGACATCACAAGGCCAATTCTAAAGAAACTACTCTTCAACAGAAAATTAGCACATGCTGCCCTCCTAAGAGCATGTTTCCCCTCTCATTCAGTAACTTCTTTACTGTCCTGTAATTATTTGTGTAGGAGGAGGTGTTATAATGTTTTCTGAGACACTGCTAACTGTAGATAACCTCCTATCTCTTCCCAGTCAAACCACCTCCAGACAGATTTCCTTGCAGAAAAATAGTACACAGAAGACAGCACGGTGGAGCAGTATGAGAATGGCAGGGGCTTTCCAAGAGCCCCAGATCACTCTAAAAGCTCACCATTAAACAAATTATTAGTTTCATCAAATATAGGTTCTAAACAATCCAGTCCTTACTTGGACAGAGGTAAGATTAACACCACTGGAAACCTGAAAGAGGGCTGTAAAATCAGGCCATGGCGCAGAGTGGAGCATGCTAATTGTCATGTTTTATCAACTCAGTGGAGACACCTCGCCCAACAACACAGTAACAGCTGGTGCCCACAACCTCTCCCCATCCGCCCCTTGTGCTCTCCCAAGCACAAGTCACGCCACCAGATTTCCGGCAGACATCTTAAACACAAACAGCGTGGAGAACATTTCTGCATTATAGCTGTATAAGTGGAAATGCTCATGTTGAGGACTGAATGAATTAGGTGGTGTGACTTCCCCACTATTTTTTCAAAACGTGATCTAAACCTTGGCTATAGACAGAAGAAAAGGTGGAGGAGGAAGGCAATAATATTGCCTGCTGTATACCAAATGTAAAAAAAAAAATAACCCTGTTGCATGTTTGCAGACTGCACTGAAAAAATTTTAAAGGCGCAACAGCCTTAAAACTTTTAAAACCTGCCCTATAATAAGCCACTAATAAAGTTATTTTTATTTGTTCAGTCATGTGAAACTGTAAACACATAGCACAGATTCTTTAATAGAAGGCAGCTCCCTTCACCTA